AAAAATACGTAACGTTTGTTAAAAACTCAAAAATCCTACTGTTAGGTTGATTATATACTTTGTTGATGCAAAACTCCTCCGTAATCGTTAAAAACTTCATCTTATCGATGTGATCGAGTGTGAAATTCTTATAAATAAATAATTATGACATCACCAACGCCGACAGTTCAAAAGAAATCTAAAAAGTCAAAAACCACTGATCCTACTGTAAAACTTCCGAAAGCGAAATTTAATGTGCCGGACGAAGAGACAGGAGAGAAGCAAGGGGAAATTGCAGCAAAGCCAGCCAATGAAGAGGTAAGGCATGTGTTTTTTAGAAATGAACCCTTTTTATTTTTATTTTTTTAAATATACATCTTCCAAGATGCTATTTGTGTCGTATTGACTACAGACAGATTAGAGTTTCTTCGATAAGAATTTTATAAATATCAAACTCTTTTGGATTTCTTCTATAGGCATCACAAAAGGATCCAGTCATCGATACAAAGCCGGACATCTTTCAGACAACTCCGCAGGATGGAATAATCATTGTAAATTACCCCAACATAAATGCAAAAAAGGAAAAGGACTTACATATTCATGATACACTAGATGCTTTAAATGGTACGAGACGGGAGGTGAGTTCACATAGCCACTCCCACGTCCCAGAGATGAGTGCTTTAATTATCGATGTCATGTAATTTGTCAAAAAATTAACACATAAGCGTATTGAGAGGCATATTTTATGACATCTACGATGAAAACGCGCATGTTTCTAATTAAAATATTAATTATCTTGGAGGAACTATCAAATTCAAACAAATTTACAAAATATCCTCAACTTCTTTATCGTTTCAAAGGGAAATGCACCCCCGGAAATGACGCCAGCAGCAATTGAAGCACTAGAAAGAATGTTTGGGAAAGTTCCTGACCAGAACAAGCCTAGAGGTTCAAATTTTGGAAAACTGGCTCAAGATTTTACGTTCCCGCCAAGGGCTAAGTCTTCCCCAAATAATTCTTCGAACACTAGTAACAATGCTACGGCTTCAACATCAAAAAACAGCGGGGACAATAAAGAGATAGACCAAGATGACCTCGATAAAAAAGAACGTGCTCGCCGTCGAAAGAGTAATTTAAATCCCTTTGCACCACCATTCACTTTGTCTGCTGGCACGTCAGTAGATGCTGATAAGTCAATTGACGCGTCGGAACAAAAACATGACGATGATAGGAAAAAGAAGAATGCAAAAAAAGAAAAGGTATTTGTTATTATTATTTAATCAATTCATGAATTCCAAAACGGTTTATAATAACCAAATCTCTTGCAATTATACTCTAATTTTTGCATAGTTGAACCATGAGATGAATGGCGACACAGATTTATCTTATCCAAAGAAAAAACGTCGTCCGAGCCAACAACTTATTACATCAGAGGCTGCTCGGCAAATTGAAGTTCCATATGGCTACACTCCAAACGGATATGAACCTAACGCATATTACATGCATGGCCCACATACGCCTTATCTACCCAATCATGTTGAGGGAACGAGTATGCCTAACTGGGAAGAGTTTCAAACCAAGATGGCTGCAGAGGTTACCAGTAGAATAGAATCAAAATTTCAAAAAGGTGTCGATACGCTTACATCCGAGATCAAAAATATGTTGGTAGAACATATATCTGAAGATTATGGGGTAAGCGGAAAGAAGAATGATGAGGGAACTACACTACGAAAATTGCAAGACCAGATTCTTCAAGAATTACGGAATAATCATAAGGAAATACGTACCACGTATGATCAACTGATGCACAAGCACGAGGAAATGCAAAACCGTCATCTTGATCAAGTTTCTTCTTTTCAAACAGCCCAAGACGGTGATATTCAAAATTCCATGTCTCAGCGTCATGCAGAACTTCAAACCATGCATAATAGCTTGAAGACTGAACTTAAAACTGGTCTTAAAGAAATACATAACGAATACCTAAAGATGCTGGATCGGCAACAGCAACTAAATAATGACATCAAGAATTCACAAGTTCTTCAGAGTCGCCTTACTGAATTAGAATTCGAACTCAATCAGTTGAACATTAAAAATGCACACTTGACATCCGAGAATTCAAGACTTCTTGAAGAAACGCATAATGCCAAGATGAAAGAACGTCAATACGAAGAAGGAAAACGTCAACAAGAAACCTTGATTTCCGAATTACAAACAGAGATATCTAATCATAAAGACAAAGCTTCTTGTGCTAGTAAGGATCTTGAACTTGTACGAAGTACGGTGAGGTCGCTTGAGGCACAAAAGGCTGCACACGAAAGCCATAACGGAAGTTTGGAAAACAAAATACGTAATCTTGAAGTACAAATACGTAATCTACAAAATGATAATAATAGTATTTTTGAGGAAAATCAGGCATTACAACAACAGCAAGACATATGGCGTAAAACAGAAAAATCTATGCAATCTGATATTAGCGAACTTA